CAACTCACCTCTAGCGGACCAGCCCAAAAACAGCATTGCCTTGAAGAATAAAAAAAAGACAATGTTGTAGGCCCTAAAACTACTCCTATCTCAAGGCCTAAAAATGCACTGGACCGAAAAAAACACTCCCTGAAAATAATATGGAAATCACAAAAAACACTGCCTGGAAATAATCTAGGAAATTCATGCACTAATGAACTAAGCTATCTTATATTTATGAAAAATAAAATTTACATTACATAAAATTTCATGATTTGCCATGATGTTCAAACACACTTCATGATAATCGAGTGTGAAAAAATGCTATGATATTATGAAAAAAATGGACATATAGGATAAAACAAAGATATTTCTAACAAATTTGCCATTGGACATGTATAAATAAACTATAAGCAATGTCATATCAATAGAACCAATTTTCTTAAGTTTGCCATCTTTCAATACACAAAATCACATGCTTTTACTTACACGCTGCCAACAAAAAGTAAAAAACATGGGAAAAATTGCCATGACACAATTAGAAATTTGCCATTGTATACTCGATGAAATTTTCATAGAATATGTATAAAAAAATCCATGGTACAGAAACATATACACATGAAAAAAATGCCATGGACCATGGCAATATTTAATGGAAAAATATTATATATATCATGCAAAACTTAACTGAAAAACTTTTGCACTTGCAATCTAGGTTTTGTTTGAGAAAAGGTTTTGTGTTTTATCATGGCAAAAATCAAGAGGTGTTGACAACATGATATATGGTGATATGGCAAATTTTGTAATGATTTTTCCCATGGCACAAAATTGTGTTAGTGACACAACAAAAGTTACAGGATTTTGCCATGGCAAAAATTATGTTGGTGAAATGGCAGAAATTGTAAGGTTTTTTCCATTGCAAAAAGATTGTTTGTGACATGGCAAAAGCTAAGGATTTTTCTCATGACAAAAAAATTGGTGTGTAGGCTACATGGCAAAATAATCGATTTGATGCATTGCAAAGATTTTAAAGTTTTTTTCCATGGAAAAAATATTTAACAAATTATGAACTGTAAAATGATATTTGTCATGTGAAACATCTTAAAATTTTGCCATGGAAGTTGTAGAAAAAGAAAAATGTCAGACTTGCCATCTAAGTAGTCCACATGATGGAAATGTGGAATATCATTGCACATTCACATGACCTAA